TTCTTTTATTCAGCGTTTGAGTATAAAATAGGTTTCATATGTTTTCTCACTGGTCCTAAGGGAAAATGCATCACGCTGGAAGATGTTTACTATTTTTTTTATTTAAGTTCATAAGTGAGCCAGAGAGCAAAATCTCATACTTCACATGTTGGTGCATCACACAAACACTGTGCATGTTGGAGAGGCGCTCTCTCTTGTCACAGTTTGCAATTTGGCTAAAAGGGATGAGAGAAAACCAAACGCAGCAGGTTACAGCTGAGTGAGTGGGGATACAGTCCATTAAAGGCAGAGTTGTGTTAATCTCCAACAGGAGCTCGTCAGAAGTGTAAATGTGATCTAAAGAGAGCAAACAATGAAAGGGTGCGTTGTTTGTGATTAAATAGGCACATATTCTCTAAATGCATTTTTATTACAAAAGAAAACATCTGCAGCTCTCATTTCAAGTTCACGTCTCTTTTTTAATAAATACAGAAAATCATCATGAGTAAAAATAAAGACATGTGCATGCTTCTCTCCAATGCTTCTAATAGTCTTTTAAAAATAAAAATATTAAGAAGAAATGATTAGTTTTACAGTAGTGAGCTGGATGTGTTGCCTTTCCTGCTGTGGTAAATAAAGAAACATAATTGGAGTCTCTCATAAGTGGAGACAAATTTATTGTTCGGCTGTTTATGCACAGCAGGATATATTTTAATAATTCATTTAGAGCTGTAATAACGTCCCTTTAAACAACACTAACGTACAGGTGAATTTATTTTTGTGCAGCCCTTTTGATTAAGTGCAATTCAAACCCATGTTTGTGCTTTTAGAGGTAAAAATTATATGTTTTACACATGAGTACACAAGCATGATGTCGCTTTGAAAAGAAAAATGTATAAAAAAACAAAACAAAATAACACCGTTATTAATGTTTAAACATTTCTTAAACAAATGCTGCCGCTGTAGATGATTGTGATGATAACTAGCACCCATCCACTGCCAGTTTGAGCACCTTTTGTTGGTTTGGAGCATGCTTGTGGGTTAAAGTTGTATTACTAAGATCTTCTGCTTAGCGAGCTGCCAGGAGCTAAAATCAGGATTTTTAGAACAGGAACATAAGGGATCTTCTCTTTGAGACTGGCCAGATCGCCATGGTAACAGAGGTTTAACTCCTGATCTTCTCTAGGGCGGGTGACAAGTTCAAAATTTGTTTAATTGTCTGTAAAAAAATAATAATAAAAGAGCAGCTTATGTGTTTATTTTTAATAATACTTGAGAAGAAATTTCGATTAGAGCATGATTTTTATGCCATTATATGGCTAAATTTAATTATTTCAGTAATCTAATTCAACAGTAATGCAATGTTTAATTTAACCCGTAACTACTGAACCTGGTATAGGATTCTAATCTTGTTAGATTTTTATTTTTTACCCAAACATCTTACATGAATTTCAGAAAAATACTTGGACATGCTCTAAAGCTCACACTCCGCTTTCCCCACTGACTGCAGACCCAAGTCGGTTGATGGGGATTAATGGGCTGCATAATATGTAAAACTGACATTAGATTAAATGCAATAGTTTTACATTGCTTTTTGCGGATGATGTGGTCCTCCTAGCTTCATCCAGCTCTGACCTTCAGCTCTTGCTGGGTAGGTTCGCGGCCGAGTGTGAAGCGGCTGGGATGAGGATCAGTACCTCCAAATCTGAGACCATGGTTCTCGACTGGAAAAGGGTGGCTTGCCAACTCCAGGTCGGAGGAGAGGTCCTACCTCAAGTGTAGGAGTTTAAGTATCACGGGGTCTTGTTCACGAGTGAGGGTAGGAGGGATCGGGAGATCGACAGGCGGATTGGTTCGGCGTCTGCAGTGATGCGGACGCTGAGCCGATCTGTCGTGGTGAAGAGGGAGCTAAGCCAGAAAGCCAGGCTCTTGATTTACCGGTCGATCTACGTCCCAATCCTCACCTATGGTCATGAGCTTTGGGTAATGACCGAAAGAACGAGATCGCGGATACAAGCGGCCGAAATGAGTTTCCTCCGTAGGGTGGCCGGGCTCAGCCTTAGAGATAGGGTGAGGAGCTCGGACATTCGGGAGGGACTCGGAGTAGAACCGCTGCTCCTCCGGATGAAAGGAGTCAGTTGAGGTGGTTTGGGCATCTGGTCAGGATGCCTCCTGGACGCCTCCCTGGGGAGGTGTTTCGGGCATGTCCTGCCGGCAGGAGGCCCCCGGGTCGACCCAGGACACGTTGGAGAGGTTACATCTCCAATCTGGTCCGGGAACGCCTTGGGGTCCTGCCGGAGGAGCTGGTGGAGAAGGCCGGTGAGAGGACGGTCTGGAGCTCCCTAGTTGGGATGCTGCCCCCGCGACCCGGACCCAGATAAGTGGAGGAAAACGAAGATGACGAGTTTTACATTCATCAGCAAAAATATAATATTCAAACTTTGAAGCATGGAGGTGGAGGAGTGATGATTTGGGCTTCCTGTGGTTGTTTTTTTTTTTTTCAAAATTAATGAAACGATTGCTGAGAAATTGAAGTATATTTTTTAGAAATGTAATTGTTTCATTAATTGTTATACCTTTTTGTGTTCTGAAGACACTGGGCACTAGTATGTCTGTTACAGAAACTCAGGACAGAATTGTTCTCATCAATGGAAGACACAGCTGGGTTAATTTTATGATGCTCATCCAAAATAAAGTTCGAATGTGGCTCCATCAAGAGTTTAGCCCAGAGGCAGCTGAGGCAAAACATCAAATATTTTAATGATAAATGTTTTGTTTTTTTTACTTAATGGGTTTCAAAGAGCATCACATTTTACATGGAGCGATTTACCCGCCTGCATTTTCTCCTGAAAAACCACGATGTCCGTGTCAAGCATACACCTTCGTGTGTGTGTGTGTGTGTGTGTGTGTGTGTGAGATGTGAATTTGAATCGGATGAGCACAAAGACTTGCCTGCCGGGAAGAGGATGATGTGGACTCATGGAAAGATGGTTTTAGCCTACCATTCCCTTTCAAGTTCGTTCTTGAATCATACACACACACACACGCACGCACTCACACGCACGCACGCACGCACGCACTCACTCACTCACTCACTCACTCACACACACACACACACACACACACACACACAGCTCTAGGTGACCATGTCCTAATCTGTAAAACAAAACCACATGCATTTGCAGCAAGAAGCTCAGTCCAAACTACTTTGGCGTCTGCCACATCAAAAAAGTATACTACTACTACTACTACTAATAATAATAATAATAATAATAATGATAATAATAATAATGATGATGATGATGGTGAAAAAGTTTTAGCCTCCTTATCATTTTCTGATCAGTCTAATATAAAAATTCACAGAAAAATAAAACCACAGATGTGCAACAACTCTGTAGTTTCATGAAAGAATCTGGGTTGCAGCCTTTTGCCACAAGTTCACAAACCTGGATAAACTGAAGACAACAACTTTCATGAATGCTAATGGAAGGGAGTGGAGTATGGAACGGTCTTTCGCTGAACCCAGCACAGCAACATTCATGCATTTAGAGTTGCAGCTGAAACAACAACAACAACAACAACAAAAATTAAAAATTAAACATTCTCCTATCATTTTCATTCGATTTTTAGGTGATTTTTTTTTAAAATGCTGTTTTGTGCAGAAGTCTAGCACATTTCTGAAAGATTAAACACTTGAAATGTCAGTTGCAAAAAGCTTAAATATGACTTTTTTTCCCCCACTGTATTCCTTCCTGGGGAGTTTTTATTTAAGAATTTTAAGTGCTGCAGGCCACCTGCAGATTGTAATTGAAAACAGAATGAAACAGTATTGATGCCTTCATGTGGACGAGACTTTTCCTTTGCTCAGCGTGTCGCCTCAGGTCCAATAACAGATGTCTCTTTGTTGTTGTGTTTGTCGGTGTGTGAGCACAAAAAGGTCCTGGTTCCTTGAAAGAAAAGTAGAATGTTTGGTTTTTTTCTGCTCTTTCTTATTCCTATTTATTCAACTCAGTAATTTTAGATGACAGTGGGTAATAAAAAGTGCATGACGCAAACAAAATAATAAAGAAATATATTACATTTCACTGTTTTCATGCCGTTTAAATTATTGTACACAAACTAGGGATGCACCAATACGATACTGGTATCGGCACCGATACCCATACCAATACCAGTATCGGTATCGGTAAAAGTTAACCAATACCAGGAACCGATACCAATGCAGTTGCTTGAAAATAGCTTCACTGTAGTTTGTCATTTCTGTTCACCTAATATTTTAGTTTTGTGATGATTTCCATTCATATATTTTACTTTTTATCTACCTCACAGTCTTTTCCTGTTGAAAACAGAGAAGAAAATAAAATCTGTATTCCAAATCATTGCATTATTTGTGTGGTAGAAGTATCGGTATTGGTAATCGGTATCGGCGAGTACCCAGATCCAAGTATCGGTATCGTATCGGTTTGGAAAAAATTGGTATCGTTGCATCCCTAACACAAACGCTCACCTTATTCACCTTCAACCAGATCGGCCGTGGAAGATGTCCTATTACTTTTTAAAGTTTTCCATCCATCCATTTTATTTATTAAGCACATTTCTACTCGGCCGAGGCCAACTAAAGTGCTACACAGTAAAAGAGCATAAAAATCAACACACGGGAAGAAAGTAATGTAACGTGAGGAAATATGGGTTTTCTGTCACAAAGGTGGTGTTGGACTCAGCTGTGTCAAAGCTGGGTCGCTGAGAACTTTCACCCACAGATTAAGACCTGAACGCCAGCGAGTCTGGGAGGAAACCATAACATCTGCCACCTGCGGTACCAGAAGAAGGAGTTCTCATGGACAAGTAGTCATAACAAGTCAAAACATAAAGTTTAAACTTCCTTTTCTTGTTTTGAATGTTAAAAGTTTAATCATCAATTTGCTCATTATAAATGTGATTTAATCAAATGAATGACTATTATGCTTTGGGGTAATTATAAGAGATTTAATGAATCCATAATTAGATAATGTTGAGAGTGTTTGTTGCTGACCTTCACACACACTCAAGCACACACACCCACACACAGATTCTCACAGTTAAACTCCAAAACACATTTGCTGACGCACACGTTTGCTTTGAGAGGAGAAAGGTTTTTGGTAAGTTTCAGTCTTATGATTTCAGTTCGTGCTTGACAACGAAAGAGAGAGGACGTGTGAACAACCGCTGAAAGGGGGGAGCCGGTTGGCTCGTTCCAACCCTCCCACCCCCCTCTCACGCTTTTCCTGCCAAGCCAGGCAGAATAGCTGAATCGCGACTTCTAACGCAGACTCATTACCGAGTCTTTTTATTTCTGAGTGAATTAACTTAAGAAAACGCATCGACAAAACGCTCTACCATCCACGTGTACCGAGGGCAACTCTGGACCGGTTCCGTTCGACACCTACGTCTCCTGTCAGCCGCCGGTGTCATCTGGATGAACCACAACATCCTCCACGGCCCGGATCCGAAAGAGGGTCCACAAGAGTTCGGTGAGACAGAGCACGGCGTTTAGCGTTTTGATGCATCTTTTCCAACTAAACCTAAGTTTATTCAAACCATCACTTTTCACTCAGACACCTGTTTCTTCCTGAAGCAAAATCAGATGCCCACACGCATCCATCTCACCTCAGGTTCAATTCTCACTACACTTTGCACACACACGCATCCATAATCACATCATATCACTCTCAATCTTCATTCACCGACAGAAGGTCTATTTGAGCAAGAACAGCATATCAACTGTTAAAGATTGTCCCACAAAGTTGCCAATGTGAGTGTTATTTCCTGTTTGTCAATTTCAAAATCATTAGTTTAATTTGAAGAATTAAAACTTTTAATTGTCAAACTGGTTTCCTCATTGAACTGAAACACAGACACACAGATATTATCGTCAGTTTATCGATGAAAACAACCTTTGAGTCTTCTTAACAATATAACTGAGTAAAGACAGTTTCTCCTTACAATATAACTGAGCCAGTCAATATTTTCTTTACAAATATGGCTGAGCCAGCCAAATTTCTTTACAGTAACAAAAGTAGTACAGTAACTACTATAAAATCAACAATAAAAATAAAACTGAGACATAGTACAAGGCTAACTAGGCTGAAGTAAAAGCCAAGGAATAAAAATGAGCCTTCAAGCATGATTTAAAATCAGAGAGAGAGGGGCCCATTCCCACTGCTAGAGGGAGTTGGTTCCAGAGGCGAGGTGCACAGATCGAGAATGCTCGTTCTCCTCGTGTCCTCACCCAAACACTTGGGACCTGAAACAGGCGGTGGTCTGCTGACCGAAGAATTCGACCAGGTACGTAGGGCTGAACCAGCTGAGTCAAGTACAGAGGCACATAAAGATAGTGATTTAAAAACAAGAAGTAAAATTTGAAACTGGATGCGGTAGCTCACTGGATTATTTTTGTTTGATTTACCGTGGCGAAATATTAGCAAAAAACATATAAAGTTCTCATTTTGGTGAGCTAATAAGTGTGTGTTCAGTATGTGTGTGTTGGGCCAACAGTTGTAAGGGTGCTGTTTGAGCGCAACCATCTATATAGATATAGATATTGATATAGATATATACAGCTATATAGATAGATGATGCCCGTTGGCTTGATTTATATGGTTTTGATATAAAACTGGAGGTTCCCACCACCGCCATTTTGACCGTGTCACACGTCTCGTCACACCCAGACAATCCCAAAACGGAAAAAAAAGGTGAAGCTGATGTTGAGGCTTCTACAGTTGGAATAGGGTTGGAACAAATGAACCAATAGCTACTAGCTAACTTAGCTAACCCAAGAAGCTAAGAAGGGGGTCCGGGGCAGCCAAACTGCATGGCCGTTTGGCTTACGTGCGAGGCTCACAAGCTTTTTTTTTTCTTTTCATTTGCACGGTAGGCCAGCTGAACATATATTTGATTATGGCTCACACAGTCACCTTGCCTCAAGCTGTTTGCAAGGTGTAATGGGGAGCCAGTGATGCTAAATAAGGTTGACAGAAATCTCTTGAGGGGAAAAAAGAAGCCAGTCAGGTCACATGATGAGCTCTGTTGTTGTTATAGAATAATACAGTTTGCACGTGCATTTATCAGGCGTAACACGAGGAATCCTATGACAGACTGATGAAACAAAATTAAATCAAAATGATATGAACTTCAACACATGAACACATTTTTGTAAGAAAACACACTTCAGAAACCATTGGGAATGTTTACAAATTGTGCAGAATGATTCTCTGAAAAGCACCCAAAGGTTTAATGAACTGTATGCACGTGCAGTCATCAAACAAAAATGTCAGCGATGCCCAGTAGAAAAATATAAAAGTATCAAATCAAAGTCTCAAAGTAAAGAAGTGAAACCAGAACCCACAACCTGAGACATCATGTATTTTCCACAGAAGTCTTAGGTGTAGCTATTGTCAATGACACCATTATCTGTCTGTGATGTTAAGCGTGGATGAGTCACCGCTTCCAAAGTGCATCGTTCAACCCTCATTTTCTTAAATCAAAGCCTTTTTCAAAGCACAACTCCAAATTTTCACCATGACAGGATCAAAGTGTCTCTGCAATCATCTGGTGCTGCATCTTCTGTTTGCTCCCCTTTAGATTCTGCAGGATTATCAATGACATTACGCAATAATTAGTCCAGTTGGGCACGAGGCTTTTAAAATTTCTTCCCTTTTTTTGAGAAAATTACACAATCTTGTCTTTCTTTGAGCTCCTCAAAGCTGAATTATTTTCATTACTAGTGATTTCAGTGTTGTGGAAACTGATGCATATTTCTAATCTTAATAAACTCGTTGTACAAAATCACACTGACAGGATAGTTATGTTGCAGCAAACGTGCCATAACTAGGGGTGGGAATTTAACGTGTTAATTACAATTAATTAGAAAAATAACACGTTAAAATGTACCATTTTGAGTCTGGAAATGGTTCAGCATCACAATTTATGCCCTATAAATCAAAGAATATCAAGCTGCAGCTCCTAAAAATTTCCAGAGTCTGGTCTACAAGAGCAAATAAACCTTTTTTTACATGTTCAGATCACATGACAAAGAGAGAATTTTTACCATTCTGTTTTGTAGTTTGTAGAAAGGAAGCAGTACCTTTATTCATCTGAACTTTATTACAGCTGGAGGGAGAAGCATGCACAGCATTCATCTTGTAATCCTCAGCAGAACTTCCCCTGAACTCTACACTACACCTCTCTCTCTCTCTCTCTCTCTCTCTCTCTCTCTCTCTCTCTCTCTCTCTCTCTCTCTCTCTCTCTCTCTCTCTCTCTCTCTCTCTCTCTCTGCCATCTAGTGTTCAGTTCAATACACATTTGTTCCATTTCACGGCCATTTACACTTAAAAGCATCTTTCCGATGCATTTCTCTTATCCGATGGCACCATCTAGTGGCTGACAAGCATATCACACAAGTCTGTCGATCTGTTTTATTAAGAAGGCGGCTTCACGTTTCTGGTTTATAAATGTGCTTTGGTAGCCGACAAACAGAGCTAAAACACGCTGTTTTACATGTTTTATTATCATGTCATGTTGTGCTTTAATACATTTATATTTTAAAGACTTGTCTGTGAAAAGTTCATTGTCATTCAGCTGAGTTATTCCTTGAATTTGAAGCATCTAAGCGGTAGTCTAACACTATTGGGTAGTACCGGTTGGTGCTCAGTTTCCTATTGCACAGAGCTCTGTGGAGCAGGGGGCGTGCTTAGCAAAAAAAAAATGTATTGCTTACATTATATCACAGTGCATGATAAAATAAACACTTTTACGGATTTCTGAAAAATCGTACATAATTTCTGAAAGGAGAAAACTCTGGAAAGCCACTTTAATAACACAAATATTTACAGAATGGTTCCCTTTACAATGAGACCAAAGTAATTAAATGTACCTTGTGGTTACAGAAAAAGAGTCGTTAAAGTGTGGGTAAGTCAACTAATTATTATTGATTTAAAAAATTGCTTAGGTACAAATTGTCTTGAAAGATTAAAATGTGATTAATAAAGATTAACTGATTACAAAGCCTCTAATTAATTAATTTATTTATTTTTATAGTCCCACACCTAGTCATAACCCATCAGTTTGGATTACAAACCTGACCACATGTTTCTGGGCTCTGGGCAGCATGGTGAGTAATCTAATCTAACATGTGGATCAATACTGTTTATTCCATACAATTTCTCTGAAATCCACAAGGGAAAGGTCTATTTTCATGGCCCCCTTGTCATTCCAGTCTCTCTTCATCCTTTTCCTTTTTCTTTATTGGTGTTGATCACTTTGACCTATGAAACAAAACGCTAACCTTGCTCCCACAGATCAAAGCAGACGGTATTTTAGGCATTACAACTTTGGAAGAAATACAGTCTCACCAGAATATGGCTTTTGACAGAATTTTTATACGGTGAAATTATGTATTTTGTTGTGTTTTTTTACTTAAAATATACCAGCAAAAAGTCTAAAATCAACAACTGAGGTGACTTTCTGGTCACTTGATCGAGTCGACACCTCACTAGTGTCCCATGATCAGCGATGCAGTTTGATTGGCTAAAAGCCACTCAAACTCAATCGAGTGACGATTACTTTGGGTGTTGAATTTTCACAGCTGAAATTTTTGCTGGTGTATTTTAACTTAAAAAAATTCTAATACATAATTTCACTGAATACAAATTCAATGTGTTGCCCTGTTATGGACTGGCAACCTGTTCTGAAGATGGGCACCAGCCCCCCGCGACCCTACGTGGATAAGCCGGTATAGAAAATTGATAGATGGATTAAAATTCTGGTGAATATGTTTCCAAAACAGTATGTTTTTATGTAACTAAAAGTCTTAAAAACAACTAATCCTGAGAAGTCGTTAAATGTTTAAGAACTTGCTTTAAATACAGCGTGCGTACTTCCTTAACTCTGTGATGTCATCAGACTGGGACGGCCAGGGGTGGACTGCTTCTGTCAACATGAGAGCGGAGCCGCCGTTCTCCATCTTCAGTTTCTCATCAATGAGGTAAGTCTGAACAATTTGTCAAGCCAAACAGGTATTTTTGGATCAAAGTGTTTAACATACTCAGGTTGCTGATGCTACTGAGGTCGTTGTTTGCGTCTGGCCTGTTTGATTCATGCAGGCTGCATGTGGAGCACCATAACACATGATTTAGCCTAGATGTTTCTGTTCATCTCTGTAAGCCGCATGGTGTTTGAGATTCTGGGTGAATGATTTTAAGCACCGCTTTCCCACGCCAGATATGTCATGTTTTTGTTTCACTGAGTATTGCACTGCAGGGGCTGGTGAGAACCTGCATTTTGTTTCAGCCTGTGTATTTCTGCAAATACCAAACAAAATAAATAAATCTTGAATGTTGAATCTTTAAATCTGTCTTCTTTGTCAAACATTTAAAACCTGTCAGTAACCTATTGGGTTGGCCCCTTGATTCATACTGGGATAAATGGATTATTAAATAACAAGTTCACTAGTTTTTTTCAATGCATTTGCAGTGGTTCCTTAATGTGAACGAGTGCCTTAGGAGCCGATCTCAGTGGAAATAACAGCTCTCCTCTATCAGGAAGTAGATGTTAGTCAGAGGTAGGGATGGGTACCTTTGACATTTGAATCGATCCGGTACTAATTCCCGGTACCTACGAATCGATACCGGTACTTAACGGTACCAATTTTCGATACTTTTGAGTGTTTATTATTTTAATTCTCTTTTATAATTAAATATATATTTTTCTCAATATATAACAATATTTGATAAATATCACGATAAATAACATTCAACTGTTTGTATTTTAACATCGTCCTTGTAGTTTTATAAGCTGATAATTAAATTGAAGCAAACATCTTTACTGTGAACTAAATTTACTGTGTATCTTCATTCCTTTTGCCATCTTTTTTCATTTGATTTTTCCTACTGGGAAGTTAGAATTTCCGAGGAGAAAGCGAACGCACCATTAGATGATAACAATGGTAGCAATGGAAGCTAACACACCAAGCTAACGTTATCTTAAACAGTTTATTTAGCTGCTGGAGCAGATTAAAATGATGATGCCTCACACTTAGATCGTTGTCACTGGTTTCATCTTCACCCAATCACCCGTCACATTTAGTAAAGTGAAGCCAAACTTTAGAGCTCGTTCATGTTCTTCTAGTCGGGAATTCGGAGTTCCGAGGAGAAAGCGAATGCATCATTAGCGAAACGGAAGCTAACATATCAAGCTAATTATATTTACCTACCAGAGCAGATTAAGATGAGGATGTCTCACTTAGATCGTTGTCGCTGGTTTCATCATCACCCAGTTACCCATCACATTTAGTGAAGTGGACCCAAGCGTTAGCGTGCGTTCTTTCTACCATGCTGCTCTGTTTACAGCTAGTTTGCAGCGACCGACGACATAACGCTCTTGCGCATGCGCAGCTGTCTTGGCAAGTTCTCGTTATGATGGACGGGTACCGGAACGAGGCACCGTTTGAAATGACGTGAATCGGTGCTCGGTCGGTACTATGGAATTCGGTCGGTACCTTAAAAAGTACTGAATTCGGTACCCGTGAGCCGTTAGGATTTGGAGTCTTATTTCCTGACATCTGGACATCTTGCCTCTGGATAACAGCAATGTGACTCTAACACTGACTCCATTTGCTGTGCAGCGTTGATGTTTTATCTCCACAAATAACACAAGCCTGGAGGAGTTCTGCTGTGTGGTGGAGTTGCTAATGCCAATGGTTAGCTCAAGATAGCCAAGATGTGCTCCGTTCTCTCTTGGACTCTAAATCAGCAGCCTTGCCTGTCGTGAGTCAAGATGGGTGAGTCCATGAATGCTAATTTTCAGTGTGACGTAGATTCGATTGGCTTTTCTAATCCAAGCGTTTCCCCGTCTTTTTTCAATCAACGGCTAATGCAGAAAATGGAGGCAGAATATTTTCACATTCCACTTGTACGTGAAACTCTGAGTGACACACCATATTCAAAAAATAACAACTTAAAAATAGTTTCTCAGTCTTTAAAGGAATAGAAAATAATTTGAGAGTGGGAAGAAAAACTTTGTTCAGAACTATTTATAATGGAGATCCCAGTAATTTTAAAATGATATATGTGTGCTTCCCCTAAAGTCATGATGTGTTCTTTGTTCAGAGCTAAATATCATTTTTTTAAAGAAAAATACTTGATTCAAAACTTGTTTTACCTTCCCAGCTGAAACGATCACTTTGACCTTTACGTGTGAATTTAAAAAATACCTTGGTTTCTATAAAAGTCCCTTCCCTCTTTAACAGAACGCTGCTGCAGAGGTGTTCCATGTCAAGCACGCGACTTCAACAGGCTTTTATGCGTTTTAACAAAAGGACGTAGTTGCATTAGGAGGAAATGGCCCTTGTGCTCTAACTGCAGAAGCTGGGTCACAGGTCTCAAACAAAAGCAACCTTCTGCCACCTTGTTCATTCTGCTTTAATCTCCTTTTTGCATCATTATTCAGTTTATTTCCTTTGAAGACCACCAGCTCTTTCAGCATTTTCTCCATGCCTCTGTCCTACTGGTGGAGTCTGTGGTAAATATAGGTGGATGGGTTTGGAGAGGGGTTCCAGCTATGGACTTTGCGGACTTTGTGGGTGTAACTATGTTGAAAGTGCACCAAGGTGTGACGTCATTTTTTTTCTTTATATATAGGAGTGTAACAGCTTGTGTGTATGCTTCATTAGTATTTGTGCAACTGATGTTTAGTTCTGCATTTTTCAGAAGTTTTATTTTCCAACGTTCCCAACCAGGCCCGGATGTAGGCATGGGCAAGGAGGGGCAATGCCCCCCTAATAAATAGTGACTGCCCCCACAAATGCGTTGACATGTAGAAATCCCAAATTTGAAAAGATTTGAAAAAGGGTCAGAGTGCTCTTCTCTCTCTCTCTCTCTCTCTCTCTCTCTCTCTCTCTCTCTCTCTCTCTCTCTCTCTCTCTTTCTCTTTCTCATTTAAAGTAGCTGCTGATTGGTAGATGCATAGGGAGGGTGTGGCCAGCCACCGCACTTCGTTCTCTGTTGTCTCACTGACTACGTTTACATGCAGCCAATATCCGGCTTATGATCGGGTTAAGGTCGGTATTCGGGTTTCTGAGTTGATCAGAATAACCCGTTGACAAGCATAAATAGAAAGATTTACCTCTAACTTGCATAACCCGATTTAAATGCGGACGTTGGGGTAGCGTCAGGACGTATGGACTACGTCAAGACGCAATACACGGTTACCTTCTTGTATATTTCGCTGTCTCTGTACTTTCGGCCGTCAGCAAAAGACATAATGTTCATACTTTTCACCAGATCGATGAAGACAGAGGTTTCCTCGTCACTCCAAAGGTGTGGTGCTGTGCCGCGACTCGCCATGTTGCTCCCAACTTGTTGTTTACTTCCGGTGTTCTGGCGCATACGAGACGTCTCGCTACTCAAAAGACCAAGATTCCTTGCGAACAGAGCATGCGCAGAACACACGCTTTGATGAGGATATCCCGATATGCGTTTACACGGGTTAGAAAAGGGTTACCCCAGGTGTAGTTACCGGGTTTTTAAAAACCCGGTTATGAGCACATCCGGGTTTTTGGCGGTGTTTACATGGACCTGCGGAACCGGGTTATTGTGAATATTTGGGTTTTAAAAGGGTTACTGGCTGCATGTAAACGCACGCAGTGACTTCACACGCTCCCAGATAGTCAGCAGCAGAACACAGAGACGCACCATTGTTGTCTGACCTCAGCCACTGGTTGAAGTTTTCTTCTGCTGTTGGTCTCTGGAATAATTTGGTTACTCTTTCTCAAGGTTTTAGTTTGCCTTGTTCTCTTCTTTCATTTGTTTTTGAAGTGATCCAAGTCGACATGTGCAGGTTTCTGGTTTCTAAACCGAGCAATAGTGCTAAGGCACTAGCGGCAGAAGTCGGCTGGTCGGGTGCTGCTTCTCAACTCGCCACACCCCCCATGTTTAGGGCAGTACTGGAACAACCAGTTGCACAAGCACCGCAGCCCCTCCCGCTGCCCCCGTTGCTACCAACCCAGCCGTCGCTGTGGGTGAAACAGGACTGAACAGTAGCGCGCCGTCCTGTTACGCCCCCTCTGTCTAGGAGCTTCAGAGGGGATAACACAGGAAGCAGAAGAATATCAACCCAACTCCAGGAGTGTTCAACAGGACAAAAAAAAGGTTTATTTAATCACAAGATAACTCAAAGATGAGGTTTCAATAAACTACAAATAAAACACCATAAAAGCAAATCAAATGTAACCAACTAGACTTAAGAAAACTCAAAATGCTGGTCAAAGCCACAGCACTAATAAACGCAGGAAGACTCGAACTTAACCAAAAATTCTTCTACTTCTAAGGCAGGGATATACACTCAACAAGCAGAAACCAGAGCTGTAAACTACTCGCTCAATCGCCAACCAACGAAGCACCACGCTTCAGGCCATCTCAACAGTCCTTAAGTGTGTGATTATTCTTAGCTCAGTAATCCAACATCCAAGCTCCACAAGGACTAAACCACAGGGATTGTGTTGAGGCAACATGTTTGCTTTATGATAAACCCACAAATGGGAGGAAACACAGCAGCCCAGTGTCTTTCCACCCTTCCTCTTGAATGTTTGCTGCACTCCATAAATAGTCTCAGCCTCACCTGAGTGCAGAGTGGCTGCAGCTGCGGTCTCTGCTGCCGGTAGGAGGTGCGTCTCTCCAAGGTGCTGATCCTGCAGGCTGACTCTGAGGGAAGGATGGCCCACAGGCGCTATCCTTGGTCCTGAAAGATGGGCACTGGAGACTGTAGGTGCAGCAGCAGAAAAAGGGCAGGAGAGCAGAGGAGCCACATTATGGGGACCATAACACTTCCCAACCCACCGCTCTTGTTTTCCCCAGGCGCCATTTTGGGAAGAACATGTGCTCATTTTGCCCTACCTGGTATCGTGGGAGACCATGGCTGGAATATTCAGTAAAGCTGCATGCATGCTTTTGTTTCCCATGTCGTACATTTGGGGGGAAGAACAATGAT